CCTCTGGTCTTGTATGTCGACTGCGAAAATCTTTATATGGCCTTAAATAGTCACCCAGAGCATGGTTTAGCAGATTCAGTACTATGATGCAACAGTTTGGTTGTTTATGTTGATGACATTGTCATCACAGGTAGTGACCATCATTGCATCGCACAGGTGAAGCAACATCTCTTTAAACATTTTCAGACAAAGGAACTTTGCAAACTTAAATATTTTTTAGGAATAGAAGTAGCATAGTCCAAAAATAGGATCATCATTTCCCAAAGAAAGTATGTAATGGATATTTTGGAAGAAACAGGAATGTTAACTTCCAAGCCAGTCGACACTCCCATGGATCCCAATGTCAAGCTCCTGCCATATCAGGGGGAGCCTCTTCTAGATCCTGAAAGGTACAGACGATTAGTAGGGAAGCTAAACTACCTCACTATTACCCATCTAGATATCTCATTCGTAGGGAGTGTAGTAAGTCAATTCCTCAACTCTTCATGTAAGGAACATTGGGATGTAGTGACTCACATTGTTCGATAAATCAAAGGAGCTCCAGGAGAGGGTCTTTTATATGAAGACAAAGGACACACTCGAATTGTGGAATATTCTGATGCAGATTGGGCAAGATCTCTCGTAGATAGAAGGTCCACCTTGTCTCTTGGAAAAGTAAGAAGCAGAATGTTTTAGCCTGGTCGAGTGCGGAAGCATAGTATTGAGCTATGGCTATAGCAAGCCAGGAGCTTATATGGCTCAAATAGTTGCTTCAAGAACTAAAGTTTAGAGAGGTCACACATATTTCACTTATATGTGACAATCAAGCCGCTATGCATATTGCCTCAAATCTAGTATTCCATAAGAGGACAAAGCACATTGAAATTGATTGTCACTTTGTCAGAGAGAAAGTCATGTCTGGAGAAATATCTACTAGTTTTGTCAATTCCCATGACCAACTAGCAGACATATTTACTAAGTCACTAAGGGGTCCTCAGATTAACTCCATATGTAACAAGCTTGGTGCACATGACCTATATGCTGCAACTTGAGGAGGAGTGTTAGAATCTATTAGAATCTTGTAAATATAGTAACTGTATATTTTGTAATTATGTACTCTTTTTTATAAATTGGAATAACTCCGCTGTGTCCTAAACATATGAATTCAATATTTTCTCTCTCAACACAAACCAATATGTTCTCGTTAAAATCTGTGTTTTTATTTCTGCACCATGGCTGAACAAAAGAACTTTGCTGCTCTCACTAAGATAAATTAGAATGCTTGCGAGCCATTATCTACACTTGATCAAGTAACTCCTTTGGCACTTGCTCTCTTGTCATGACTACTAAGAATTCTAGTTTTTCTTCTTTTAATAGTTCATGATCTGTACCTGGGGATATTTGGATAACTGGCTCTAGTACTTCCAATCACATGATTCCTAATCCTTCTTCTTTTACTTTCTATTCCACTTTATTTGGTACAGATCACATTACACTTGCATGCAATTGGTTTGCAAATTCCCATTTTTGGATGTGGTAATATTTAATTCAACAACTCACTTCCATTAAAAAATGTTCTTCATATCCCTGAGCTCTCCAATAACCTTATCTCTATTCATAAACTCATATGTGATATAAATTGTGCAGTAACTTTTTTCATCTATTATGCTTTTCAAGATCCTGTCTTAAGGGTTATATTACTTTCAACCAGTGCAAAATGAAGTTGAAGACAATGTTGGAAGAAGGGAGGTCGATTCCTATAATCCGTCTTCTTTTGGCTTCATGTCGTTGAGCTCTCCAATAACCTAATCTCCATTCCTATGTCTCCTCTCAAATTTGGCTTCAACATAGGCCCCTCTAGTATACCTGTGAGCATGTTTCCTTCTTTGTTTTTGAGAAAATCAGTTGAGTCTTTTCAATGTGATGTTTGCTTATATTTTTGGAGCTAAATGGTTTGTGTTGAATTTGGGCTTTAAGCCTAACTCAATCTTAAAAGTTAGCTTGTAAGGTGAGAATTGCTATAGCCTTTATAAGTTCTTATTTAGTAATATCTATAGTCGATGTAGGACTTCAACTATTTGTATCATTTATTGATGATTGCACACATGTTAAATGCTTACAGACAAGAATATGTGAACAAAAAGTTGTCTCAATTTCTAAAAGAGAAAGGAGTTGTTCATGAGTTGACGTGTGTAGATACCCCTTACAAAATGGAGTTGTTCTTGGAAGTTACTAGAGCTTTACTATTGCAAATGACACTATCAAAATCATACTAGAGAGAAGCAGTTTTAACGGCTGCTTATTTAATCAACAAGTTTCCCAATCACATTTTGAATGGCTCTAGTCCTATCCAGTCAATGTCTACATTGCATCCTTCAATTCTTATTATGAATAGCCTTCAAGTTCATGCCTTTGGTTGTTTTGCCTTTGTTCATGTTCACAATCAACATCATGGCAAGTTGGCTCGTTGTGATGTTAAATATATTTTTATATGGTATACTCAAAATAAAAGGGCTATATATGTTATCATCCTTCGAGTCGATGTTTCCTTTAATAATTAGAGTCATTTTATTCTTAACCTCCACTTTAGGGGAGAATCTACAAGAAGTTGAGTCTATTGATCCTCATGAATCTTAGTCATTCCTTCCTCTTAATCCTTGTCATATGCAAGAATTGGCTCCTCCTTCCTCCTCAGGAAAAGAAAAAAATGACTTAGTGCCAACAAAAGCAAACACACCTACCTTGCTCCACAAGGGAGAAGAAAACCTAACCTGGTCCAAAAGCAACTTCAATTGGTCGAACCCGAGGTAAGTTTTTGTTGAAGAAGAGAGGATAGAGAGAAAGAGAGACACAAAGAAATTAACCTTTTCTGAATATTATTGAAAGAAATCTATATCTAAATAATAGCTTATAAAGGATAAAGCAAGCCTCACCTTACGAGTTAGCTTAGGGTTGAGTTAGGTTTAAAGCTCAAATTCAACATGGTATTAAAGCAACTTATCTGGCCTAGTGCAATTTACCTGGTCCTGCAACTTTCCAAGTGCCACCTACCTAGTCCTGTGGCTTATCTAGTGCTATATTAAAAAAAAGGAAAGTCCTACGATTCCACTGTCTAGATGTCCAATCTATAGCCTAAGAGGATGTGTTGAAGTCCCACATCGACACAAAACACATGGAGGTAGACATCTTTGTTCATGAAAAATTTGTTAAACAGGATCTAATCATTTGACATGTTCCAAGATCAATATGTTGATGTTCTAACCAAGCTCCTTGGAAGTACTACGTTCATAAAACTTCGGAGCAAACTCAGAGTAGTTGACTATTTCACTGAAATCAACTCTTGTTAAGATCTCTCACCTTCGAATTAAAGGGAGAATGTTAGAGTAATACGTTTCTGTTGTAAGTAATCTCCAGTAGGCTTGCAGTTAGCTAGTTATCACACTTCACCAATATATATATTGGTGCTATTGTATTTTGTATTTTGATCTACTGCATTAATTCATTCTTATTTCTTCTATTTTCTCTCAATTTCTTTCATGTTCAAAAATTTCAACACAATGGTTATTTGCTGGAGGAGAAATATATTGAGCAATCTGCAGGTTTTGCTATTAAAGGACACGAAGACAAGGTCTATTTGCTGAAAAAAAATTTGCATGACTTAAAACAAGCTCCAAGGACTTGGTACAACATAATTGATGAGTTACTAAGTCTTGACTTCACACAAAGACTTTGTGTCAACTCTCATTGTACAGTGCTTGAATTCTGAAATTTTAATTGTTTCTTTGTATGTGGATGACCTTTTGGTAACAGGAAACAAAATTGTTTGGTTGAGGAGTTCAAGCTAAATATGATGAAGGTTTTTGAGATGACTGATGGTAGAGAAATGACTTTCTTTCTTGGGTTAAAAGTCAAACAAGATGAGAAGGTGTTTTATCATTCAAAAGAAATTCTAAAGAAGTTTCAAATGGAAAATTCTAAGTCTATGGGTACTCCAATGTTTCAAAAGTTGAAACTAAGTAAGGAAGATGGTTCAAAAGAGTTGATGAGACTGATTATAGGAGTTTTGTTGGCTGTCTCATGTATTTTATAGCAACAAGACTTGATATTTTGCAAGCTGTAATTGTTCTTTCAAGAGTTTAACATTATGCAAGTGAAGTGCATCTTGAAGCTGCTAAATATGTCCTTAGATATGTTAAAGGAACTACTAATTATGGAATTTGCTTCAAACATAATCAAGAAATTTTTATGGATTCTTTTACAGTGACTGGGGAGGTTCTTTAGATGATATGAAAAGAAATTCAGGCTATTGTTTTACATTTAGTTCTCGATTCTTTTCTTGGGCCTTAAAGGAGTAAGATGTTGTTGCATAGTCAACTGCAGAAGCAGAATTCGTATTTCTCTGCGAATGCTGTTAATCAAGCTTTGTGGCTGAGTAAAATTCTACTTGAATCACAAATGACTCAAACAGATTTAACCATGGTGTTATAGATAATCAAGCAGCAATTGAAATTTCTAATAATTCAGTTTTTCATGGAAAGACTAAGCATATAAATGCTAAGCTTTATTTTCTCAAAGAAATCCAAAAGTAAGGAGAAGTTTCATTGTAATACTGCAAGACAGAAGATCACTTGGCAGGCATTTTCACAAAAGCACTTCCTAAAGGGAGGTTCGATAACTTGAGAGAAAAACTTGTCGTCAATAAATACTAATCCAAGGAGGAGTTTTGAGAATATAAATCAGTATCTACTATTAGAATTTATATGTTATAACGAGCATTATTAGTGGTAATCATGGGCGTTATGAGCTGCTACATTTTTATGGCTATTTACATTTGTCATTTATTTTAAGAATTAGGTAAAATTGTTATCATCAATTATAAATTTCTTGTATTTAAAGGATTTTAGTATGAATGAAAATGTGTGTTTGCAGCTAACCTTTCTATATTTCCTACATATATTAAAATGAGCTTGCATAAAGATACATAAACATATTTATATTTTCATAAACTTCACAGAATTTACCAGTCAAAAAGCCTTGAATAAACTATTTTAGCCAATGCATCCCTACTGAGAGCTGCAGAAGTTGGATCAAGTGATTTTGTTATGGCCTCACCACGAGTCACCATAACACGTTTGCAGAAAGAGTCTTCAAGGGACTTCTCATCACACCTGCCATAATCAAATAAAAAAAAAAATACTTGTAGATGTTATAGATTTGAATACTAATCTATAAGAGAAACAAACAATAAAGAAAGAAATTCACTTACATAAAAAGCTCAGCTGCAGTTTTTAGGTGGAAACGGGATTGTTCATCTTTGGGTTGAGAGGAATCCATCTCGTCCTCCTCTCCCTTAATAAATTCAATGTTTCCTAAATGAAGTACAGCAGCTACTATTCGAAATATAGCATCCTGAGAAGAGAGATGAAAAATTCTTTGAATGAAAATAGAAAGAAAAAAAGAGAAAAAGAAAACTCTCCAATAAGGATGCTACTGAGGTTTATACTTGCTCATCAGAGCTGATCCCAACAACCTCCATAGCTCTCCTAGTTGCATGGTACTCCTTAGAATCATCGACCCCATCCAGTTCAATGCAATTTGATTGATTAAGGTAATGAAATGTCCTTGGGTTTCCCAATTTGTACCTATCAACGTTCTAGACATGGAGAAAGCTCAAATAAAAATAAATTCACATCATACACTCATAATCGTAGACTAAGTTAAAAAGATTAACAAACAAGCAAAATTCGAATCCTGGATTTTGAAGCTCAGCAACATCAATAGGGTGTTCAGTAACTTTTGTAAATAAACCGTGAATCTCACAATATCCTTGCCCCTTCAGTTCAGGAGCATTTCATCTATGCAAAATGTAACAATCACTAATTGCTTTGAAATAATCATTAAAAATTAGGTAACATATTCTTTGCTACCATGATTTTAGTCTTAATTTAAGATTGTATTTATAATGCTTTTCCTATGTAATCTGCTGCTAAACTTGAACTTTAGAGACAAAGACCAAAGGTTCTTGTTTGATAAGAGCTAGACAGAGTCAATTGGGTTTTTTCATTGTGATATATGTGAACATGCTAGACAATATCATGTAAATTTCCTTTCTAATTTTGATGAAAGTGATGAATCTTTTTCTAATATTTTTGGCTAAAAACAGTTTTCTAGCTACCTTCATTGGAGACTATATCACATATTACAATCCCACAATACATAGAAGATTGCTTTATGTTAAACATTTATTAAAAATCATTGAAGCGGATCTTAATTCATATTGGACTAAATTTATTTTCCAGAAGGGAAGGATTGTGTACCTCTTGTGATGCAGCACAAAGCATATAAAAGCAATGATAATTTCTCTCAGGATCAGAAACTTGACAAACACGGGATCGTTCCAGCAAATAAGTTCTGATAGCAGCTCCTGAAATTCTCCCCTTTTGATCAAACTGAATCTCCACAAACTTACCAAAACGACTGAAATTATACTATGTAAGCTTAGAACAGATTTTAAATCAATTAAGAGATAAACGGGTGGAAATTCAAAGCTGGGGAAAAGATGACCTTACTAAACAATAAATTTAATACCTTGAATTATTGTTTCTAACAGTCTTTGCATTGCCAAATGCTTCCAAAACAGGATTGGACTGCAGAAGTGTGAATAACGAGCATATGAATAATAAGACCCAAAATTAAATTTCTTATTTCTTAAGCACAATCCCGACCATATCCCCTCAATATTTAGTTTTCCAGGAATGCTAGCAACACACTTGTCAACTTTTAAAATGTTAAAGAACTTTTAAAAAGTGATCAATTTATGGACCACTTCGTGTGATTGATCAGAATGAGTGATACATGTCTGGAAATATTTTTGTAATGACATCGTTGGATACACTGCAGACACAAACAAACACAAATGGACACGTTGCATGTCATGGTGCCTTATAGAATATATTTTGGCAGTTAACCTACGAGGGAAACACAAAAGGATAATGGATTTGTTTTTTATTTTACTTTAGCAACATTTTTTAGCTGAATGACATCATGTTCAATGAACTTTGAACTATCACTGTTAAGGTTTTGAACTCCAAACTTTAATCAAATTTTTATAAAAAGAAAAAATAAATTCAAAATTCAAAGCTAGATAAGTAATAATTAAAATTTGACTTTATGTTAAAGACTTGAATTTTTATGTTTAAAATATTTTATTTTGTGATGGAAATACATTCATTTTTTTATCTTTTGCATAATGTATTGTTGCCGTGTTGTGTCACCGTGTCAGTGTCGATTCATGTCCGTAGCTCGTCGTGTCTGTGCTTTCTAGTTTAACAAGGAATGTGGGTAAGAATATGTTTAAAAGAGTGTATTGCAAACATTTCTATGACGTTTCTTACCTCTAGAACTTGTTGCTCCACAGACCGTCCTTCAGTTGCTGCTCTCCCTCCCAAAAAGGCAAGATAATGCATAAGCATCTTCGTACTTTCAGTTTTACCAGCTCCACTTTCTCCACTAACCAAAATAGATTGACTTGTTCCTTCGTTTATCATCTTCCTGTAGTAGATACTTATCATTTTTGGTGAATTAATGCAGACACATCTTTTCATAATTTAGTCTAATTTGCTACAAAGTTTTGGATTCTAGTCTTGTTGGTCATGGATGCATAACCCAAAAACAAAAATATTAAATGATTTCCATTCCACGTTGCAATTGGATTATAAAGAAAATTTAGGGGTTATTTGGTTTCAGGAAATGTTTTTTGTTGTAACTTTAAATTACAATTTTTTTTTCTTCTTGATTCCTGTTTTTAAATTGTTTTCATTGTTTCATTTACAAATATTTAAAAACAAGAAACAAAATGAAAAAGATGTGATTTTTTTGTAATTAAAAGTAGAAATAGAAAATCAAATAAAAAGACATTTCCTAAAACCATACAGCCCAAAATAATATTTAAAACCTTTATGCAACAAGTTTTAGAATGGATTGTTACAAGAGTAAACATTCACTTTAATCCTTGAAATATGCAAGGTCATTCAAATCAATCCCTAAAATTTTAAATTTAGTCCATAGAATTCACCATCGTCAATCACATTAATTTTTATCATTAAAAGACATTAAAATTGAGTAATAAAATAATAATTTATCATATTAAGTGATACGTGATAGTTCATTTTAAACACAAAATAATATCGTTTTAGAATCTTTCTAAAAATAGGTCATTTTCATTCTTGAAATTTAAAATTTTCAAGCAACAAGGTCCCTATCTGCTTTCTTCAATGATGTTTTCTTCTCTTCCTCTGGCCACCACTATAATGGCGTTCACACTTCAAACCTCCTTCATATCAGGTTTTCCCACATGAGCCACTAGATTCAAGACAAATTGGATGAGGAAGGAGGCACAGTAGGGACCGATTTTGATGAAGTCGGAAAAGGTTTGGGCCCAGCAACGTTGGTGGGGTCTAAGGGAGTTGTGAGGTATGGAATGGGTTGATAGAAACGTTAGATTTGAAGGTGATTTTGATGGGTGCGGCAATGGAGGGAGAGGAGGTTGAAGATGAGGCTTAGGTTGATGGGAACTTGAGCTTGTTGAGTTGTGTTTGAGAGAGAAAACATGGGATCTTGGGTTGAACAAATGGGCAAATTGTGGAGAGTGAGACATAGAATGTGGAAGACCAAATAGTCACCATGGAAGAAGAAAATGTCCTTAAAACGGTGGCCAAAAGAAGGTGAAACAGAAGATGAGGCATAGACCTTATTACTTGAAAATTTCAAAAATCAAGGACAAAAATGACCTATTTTTAAAATATTTTAGAACGTCACTTTGTATCTAAAATGGACTATCATGTGCCACTTAGTATGATAAATTATTACTCAATTACTTATTTTTAATATTTCTTAATGATAAGGACTAACAAAATTTACTAATTATTAATTTTAGGGACTAAAATTTTAAATTTCAGAAAGTAATTTTAATCAAGTTGTATATTTTAAGGACTAAATTGAGAGTTTACTCATTATCAATGTAAAAAATATGAAACGTTCTTGAACAAGCCAAGGAGGACATAATTTGACAATCTTTATATCACGTGGTGCTTCAGTTGTCAAAATTGATATTTCAACTTTATTTCATTTCTTATCAACTATAAAATTATCTGGAACTATTATCATCTTAAATCCAAGAATACTTAAAAGCGATGACCATAGCACAAAAAACTGAGAGAAGCAACAAGATACCTATATGCATAACTTGCAATTGCAAAAGGATGTGGGCTCTGCTCGCCAAAAGCTGCACCTTTATACTTTGCCATGGTACTATGTTCAGTCAAATGAGGTAACCTTTGAAAAGGGTTCACTGCTATCAATATATTTCCCGTGTAAGTCTGTAGACGCCATCAGCAAAAGTTAAAGCTTCATCAATAATGACTATGATGACAAAACAAAACACTTCCCTAAACATTTCACAAGATAGATTAGAGAAGTCAAAGCAGAAAACAGAGGTGATATCTTACATAAATTTCATTTATGGTATATCGAATTTGCAAATTTTGAAGTACTCCTGGTTCATGAAGATATGCCAACCTTGTCATATCTTCTACACCGTCGGGGGGGAATTCAGGATCTTTGGGATAGATGTTAGATGATTTACTCACCACCTGCAATAGAGATAGTTTTAATATGATATGACTGTAGAAACACATGAAAAATTTCTACTTTCTTTTTTGCTGTTATGAGCGCTTTGAATGCTGTCATAATCTCAGTGTAAATGAAGCAATTTGACTCTGTTGAGATCTTGCATCAACTACAGATATGGGTAAAGTAGAGCTTATTAAGGGTTAGACAATTCTCACCAGACAAGTTAGATTTTAGGGTTGACTCCAAATATGTAGCAATAGACAAGCTTACATAGAATTATTTTGATGAGATTTGAGTAAAACTACACAATTCATTGCAAAAGAAGTATCAAAATTCCCATTGAACTATATGTTTGTTGGCAACAACACTTAAAAGATAGTGAGTTCTAAGTTCTAACTCAAATTTATAAAAAAATGAAATAAAATTGAATCAATGTTCAAAGTATTGCTAAAACTTGAATATATAGCACATATGACATCAATTACAAACAATTTTACTCCTCAAGACTCATGATATACAACTAAGGGCTTATGATAGACATTACCAACTAAAAAGTGCCTCAAGAGGTAAAATGTATTCCAGAGATGTACTGTATGTGGAGGAAGAATATTTGGTTGAAACATAATGCGACCAATTTTATGCAATAAATTCAATCATTTCTAGCTGCTTTACATAGGATTGTGCATATTACTACAAGGGTGATTGCTGTCATTGTCAACGCTTCAGGGAATTTATTTGTGTCATTCAAACAGATATATATTCTTCTATTGTTGATTTCTTTGTTTCTACATTTGTGGGTTCAACAAAAACATCTACTTATGTTGTCTCTTCTATTTCTAGTATTAAGATCACTTTCTCTTATACAGGAAAAAAAAATGAAAAGAAAACAATTTACATATATAACCAATATGTCTTCCTATTGCAGTTAATGAAATCATTCATTAGTAATCCTAAAAAGGCTGGTATAGCTTATCATTCCATATGAGCAATAAACAAAATACTGTACAGAGATCAATAAAAAAGAAAAGAAATGAACCATACAAAATAAGAAAATCTTGTGTGTGTATGTATCGATAAATAATAGATTCAGGAGACTCACCCTCGTGCCCGATTCAAAGTTAACTGTTATCTCTGCATCTTTAGATTCCTGGATCTCTCCATCTATCCAGGCTAAATCAGTGTCCTCAACCCAAACATGAGATCCCACTACAAAGCTGAGTTGACCAGCCTGTGCATTCAACAGAATAATCATTGCCTTTATCGACAGAATAGAACCTTGGTTTCAGTTTATATCTCCCACATTACAAATAAAGGTCAATCATAAGTGAAAACCAGTACTATAATAACATTGTATAATAATAATATAGTATATGCTTCTTGAGCTCCTTTAAAACATTGGCATCCATAATAAAAGTAAAAACATATATCACAAACTTTAGAGTAATTAGAATGGAAAATAATATGGCCATATTGTTAGGATTTGTGCAGTTCAATTTGTCAACATCACAATAAAGCACTTACTGCCTAATATTTTTCCAGTACTAAACTCAATTTGAGAAAAAGCTTATGAGGGGTGCAGACACTAAGGAGAATACAAAGTGAATATGAACTTCTTATTTGAACCATTTAACATAAGTGAAGCTCATTTCACTGAAGGGCATAAAAAGAAAGCTAACACAATGGGAAATTGAAAAGTGTAGATAATTACCATTGTTAATAGAATATTATGCACCCAAATGAACCCAGTGATCAGCTACTCAAACCTTGGATTCCATCACCAGAATCTACCAACCAATGTGGAGCAAATAACTTAGAATATTCAATCGCTATGCTGAAACGCTGGTTAATTGCTAATGGATACAATGAGTAAATTATCTTGCTGAGTTATGTATCTTTAACTGAAAGAAACATGTTATATCCTACTGTAAAGTTTGTCTTCTTGTCGTCAAAATTGGAATATGTAAAAAGGGAGTCACCCCGGGAAAGTGTCGTTGCAGAAGAGGCTTCACAATCACGGGGCTTTCCACAAGAAGAAGATCCAACTAATGCTAACCCCTCCTCTGCAACTATCTCCCCTTCAATTTCTTGCTTTTTGCCTCACTCTCTCTTTCTATGTTCAAACAAAATTGCCTTGTGCTTGAGGCTTCCTCTTGTTCTCGTTCCCTACGCGTGTTCTCCAACAACGTGAACGCGTTCTAACATGATATTTTATGTAAAATCAGTGATCAGAAACTATCTTATGTAACTCGAACACCATGAAATCCAACGTGACATGGTGGCCTAATTTCTCTCACAAGATGCCACATACACTTCCAACTAAAATAAAAAATCTCTGAATTCCTTGTTGTTTCTTCAAACCTTGAATTCATTGTTTGCACGTGAATCTCACACATCTATGTCATCATGGGATCCCCTTTGGTGAATCCAAAATCTTGAGCCTTGTTCACATCCAAAAGCACAATGTCTTGTGAATTCTTGAAACATGTCAAGAATTTCGTGTGTAATCATCTTAGAAAGTGTCAAATCTTTCTCCCTTCCATAGCATCAATCATTGATCCTATGATAAATCCAAATAAAAGAAATTGCAGAAAACTAATGATGGAGACAATCTACACCTTTTTTCTTGAATCAAAGCCTACCCTCAATGTTGAAGAACTAGTTAGCCAAGTTTACGATGCAACATCGCCAGTGAGGTAGTTTTTTAACCATTGAATTGAATCTGAATATCTGATAGAAAATTTCTTTTTGGCAGAATTCAACGGTTTAGAAAATGTCACTTACTAGTTCTGTTGGTGCAACGGTGGCACGTTAAAAATTTGCCTTGAGATATGAATCATGGCAATGTTTTACCCCTATTCAAGGAAAACTCGAGATTTAACTAGTTTTGCTACGTGCTTAAATCTACGTACTTTTCTATTTTTATACTAATATTTACTATTATAGTACTATTATACTAATATTTTTATACTAATACGTTAAAAGCAACATATGGTTACAATTATTTTTTGTGTTTTCAAATAGGCATAGAAAGCTACATACTTACACGGATTAGCTATCACTCGTAAACGAAAAAAAGAAGATATAAGGGAATAATTAGTTGGAGAATATTGAACAAGTAATATCACACATTTTGTATAATTATGTTTAAAACGATTTTACTTTCATTTAATTATGCGTTATATCATGTAATTAAAAGAGTTGGACTGTGATCATAATTATTTTATATTACAATTTGACAATATATAAGTAATTCCGCTGTAATATAAAATTTTAATTAACTAAAATTGAAGCCATATCTACAGAGACATACGCTGTTAAACAATTAACTATGGTCCAACATTTTTATATCTTTTGTCGAAACCCTTTTAAATATTTTTTTATGAACCTTAATGTAAGATTTTTAAGAAAATTTTAGAAGTATTTATTAATTTTTCATATTTATATTTAATGAATATTGAACTTCTTTAACTTTTCAGTAATGAGTAGCATAATAGAATTTAACTTTAAATAAGAATGATCTTAAAATATTATAATTGATTTTAAAAATTAATACAGTAACAATTTTCTAACCGATATATATAACTTAGTTAAAAATATATTATAAATAGGATTAAATAGTGTATCACGAAACCATACTCTTCCACGAAAGAAGAACAGATGAGTGTTACTCCAATAAGGATCCAAATGAATGCTATCATGAAGCACTCAAATATGGGGAAAAGAAAAGAGGTTAGCACAATAATTAATTTACTGGGATTAACTTAATCAATTATAAAAGGAGAATTATTTCTTGAACTACTCTCTCTCTCTCTCTCTCACACACACACACACATGGTACTCTCGTTTGTTAGTTGGAGGAGTTTTTTTTAATCACTCCCTAAATTTTATCTTTGATAATATTAAAGGGAGGTATTATTAAGGTTCGTGAAGGCTCCAAGACTCATCTTTTTCAAGAAACGAGAGGCTTATGCGCTAGGGCTTCTTGTCCTAAGGGTTTTCCTGAGAGCCTAAGTGCTGTCATCTCTCAAGAATTCAAGGGCCTACGAAGGTGTCATCCCAAGGGAAGTTCACCGCCCTAGTGGCCTTTGCAGAATAGAGTACCTTGAAGTTGAAAAGCACTCAACAAAGGAGTTGGACCAGATGAATGGAACACAAAAAAAGTAAAGGTCAATACTGAGTCACCTATGGAAGAGCCGAGGGACAACATGCAAGAGGAGTCCTTTATAGATTTGCATACAAATCAAGTGCCTTCTTAACTTGTTAGATCTGAATATATCTCTTATAAAAATAAGGTCTTGAGTATAAAGAGTTAAATCTCATTCTAGGAGATGAGAAAATAGTCCAATTTGTGCTTGAGGACTTTAATATTAACTCTGAAAATGAGAAGCGTGGAGAAATTTTATATAAAAATCATGATCTATCACTACGCCAAAAATTGGCTTTTGGAGCGCCAAATTAGATATTGGTTAGTAAAAACTGTTTTGTATAAAACACTAAGAGAGAGGTTTCTCCCTAACTGCTCTCTAAATTTAACTTCTTAAAGCGGTTCCTCGCTAATATATATTTTTGAGAGCAGTTCATTTAGAATCGCTTTCTAATATGTACTTCTGAGAGCAATTCATCTAGAACCGCTCTGGTAATTGTATTTTTGAGAGCGGTTGTTAAATAATCGCTCTCAGAAGTGCTATACTTTAGAAAGCGGTTCACATGTGAAACCGCTCTTACAACTTTACAGAGCGGTTGACATGTAGAACCGCTTTGAAAGGTGTAGATTAGAGAACAGTTATTTCTTAATCGCTCTCAGATGTTACAATTTTTAAATTAAACCCTAAGCCCTAATCTGGTTGTCCCTGTCGCCGCGCTAATGAATCCATATTTTTACTAGTACTGTACTATAGTTTTAATCCATTTAATAAAGAAAATATGTTGGAAAAAGTAGAAAAACTTATAAAAATAGAATAATTGAAGGTTGTCTTTAAATATATAGTTATTTCAGCATTTGTGAATTTTTTGTGTAGAAATTAATAATTCAAGCACATTTTTGTAGAAAATTCTGAGCAAAGTTCATGAAGATGGAAAATCAATGGAAAGATAGAAAAAAAGTAGCAAATCTGGACTCAAAGAACAAGGTTTATGAGTTTGAGCTGGGCGTGATCACTATTGTCAATGAAAGTGATTGATCCAGAGCTTAAATGAGAAGTGAAGTTTGTGCGTAATCACTCTTATCCATAAGAGTGAGTGTTCCAGAGAGTTTCTCAGAAGAACACAGTGCGCGTTGTCACTTTCACTAGTGAAAGTGAGTGTTCCAGACAAGCTCTAAACTTTGTAAGTAGCGCGTTGTCACTTTTGCTGGTGAAAGTGAATGTTCCAGACAAGCTCCAGACTCAACAAAGAGTGCGTTGTCACTTTCACTGGTGAAAGTGAGCGTTCCAAAGGAACTCCAATCACAGCAGAATAGCGCGTTATCACTTTCGCTGGTGAAAGTGGATGTTCTAGAGAAGCCTCAATCTTAGCGAGTAGCGCATTATCACTCTTGCAACAAGAGTGATTTTTCCAGAAAGGCATGTAGCAAAGCAAGTTGCGCGTGGCCACTTTTACTCATGAAAGTGAACACGCGCACAACTCGACTTCTAGCGTTGCCACTTTTATGAATGAAGGTGATCATTCCACTTTTATGAAGATGACTCTTCTGCGTTCTTTCTCTTCTTCTCTTTCTTTTTCTTTCTCTGCTGTAATGGCTGTGTAATTTCTTCATAGTTAGGGATTGTGCATCCAAAACGAACGTGTTGAATTGATTCTGGATCTAGATTTCAAGTATTGGAATGGATTGAGTGATTGATTCTGCACTTTACATAGTGATTGAATGGAAGTTTGATTAACTCATTACAGAGGAACTCTTGTCAATGGAAATTGAATTTGTTCTTCAAAGATCTGAATCAATCAACAGGATTATAGATGTCTTAGGGATAAGATAACTTGATTACGCAATCTTATGGTTTCTCATACTTAAAGCAACATTGAATTAAACTAGATCTAAGGAATTAGAGTGATTTGATTTAATGTTAGGTTCACTAAGTTAAGGAATTAACCTCTGAATAATAAAACGTGAAATTGATTGTCATTCTTTCTAATTTCTTGAAAGTTCAGAACTTTATTGATTTAACATTGAAGTTTTGGTGAAACAACTTCCTAGCTATGTCTTCCACATCTGTTAATCACACATTTGTATGTTCAGTGTTCTGTTTTTCTTCT